TTTTTTTTGCTTTTTTAATGTTAAAACTATGTATTGTTTGTCTGTCTGCAGGAGCATGGCTGCCTTTGCAGGGATGTGCGACGGAGGATCGACAGAAGATGGCTGCCTAGCCGCCTCTCGAGATGACACTACCTTAAACGCACTTAACACTGTAAGTCGTCACGCAGCAGCAACTAAATGGTTGCACAGTAAAGATCTCTTAGTTGCTAAAAGTGTTTTTGCAGTTTTAGTTAGTTGTATCACTGCAGTGATGAGGCCTCTGAGACGACGGACACGCTCCCCGTTTTCCTGTCTGTGAACCCAACCTCAGAGCCGAACAATACTTTGCACATAATGAGAGATTTGTCCGTCACATTGACAATGAATGCAGGGGAATCAAGCACAACAAAGAGATTAGAATCATCATAAACAGGGGATTTATATGCCGACTCTATAAACTAGAAAATTAGCATAGCGAACAGGTCATTGTCTCTTGACCTTCTGCTCCATTTGCAATTCCAATGAGTAATGCTTGTTTGTTCTCAGAGGGAGAGCGCCGGCGCTGCCTGTTTCACCCAATTGAATGTGACAGAGTGCTTAAAGCTCCACAGCTATCGCCTCTTTTCACTGTTGCTCCTCATCCCCAGACTGGTTTTCAGGTCTTGGCAGGCATTTCCTCTGATGCTGGAGGATTTGTACTGACAAGTCCAGTCACACCTAGATGTGGAATATTTTTTTTTTGTTTTTTTCTTATCTTGCATATCAAGTTCGCATGTGATTTAGTTACAGCTCAAATATCCATCTGCAGGTTTCCTGGAACTTTGACACATTTTAGAGCCCTGCAATTACCATCTATTAGCCGGATTTCTGTGACTAACAAAGTAGCGAATGCTTGTGAAGTGGAAGAAATACGATACACACTTCTTTTTTTTTTTTTTATACAAATAAAACTCTGAAAAGTATTGCGTACATTTGTAATTCGTTCTCCTTCACCCTCATACTCAGCAGAACACCAGTATGAATCCAGCTGTTGGAAAATATTAGTGGATAAACAGACAAAAAAAACACAGTAGACAGGTCAGGAAGAAAGTTAGGATATAAAAACATTCCTCAAACTTTGCACATGTCATAAAGCCCTGCTGCAAACCAAGACATCTAAACTCACAAGTCTCATAGAGAAACAGCCATGAGGCTCATGGTAACTCTGGAGGAGCTGCAGAGATTCACAGCTCACTATAGGAAGACAACCGTCAAGTCCTGCTTGCGTTTTGCCTCAAGCCATGTAGGAGATGCAAAGGATGTTTTGATCAAATAAAACCAGAATTTAACTTTTTGTTGTACGTGCAGAACAACATATTTTGTGCTAAAATAGCCTAGTCAAAGTCTAGGCGCAAAACCAGTTGCAGAAAGTCTCCATCCAATCTGACCTGTTATGTGAAGAAGAAACGGTAAAAATGTCCGTCTGATTCTACAAAGTTTCACCTCAAAAAGGCTGACCGTTTCCAGATTTAGTGAAAAAACATCAACGTACCCTTTTGCTTCCACTTCAGTTATGCACTATTTGAAACATTAATTGTAATGTGACAAAGTAAAAAAGCATGTTTCTTTATTTTTGTGCATTTTGTTGCCTTGTTGATATAATTGTATGCTTTCTTTTCTTTGTGGTGTTTGTTTTCAGCTTCATGAGAGCAGCTACGATGCAGGCAAGGCTCTGCAGCGTCTGGTGAAGAAGCCGGTACCTAAACTGATAGAGAAGTGCTGGTCTGAGGATGAAGTGGTAAGAAAAGCTGTTTTTGTATTTTTATTTTAATGCAGATTCATCAAATGCCACTGTTTTCTTGATCCATCCACTAATAGCATCTTCAGGTCAGTGCAGCGTTTGTCTTTAGAGGGAGCTGTTGAGAGGTAACGGAGCTCTTGGCCCGGCCTCACGCGGCTTCAGCAAAAACCCTCTTTAGTTTTCCAGCTCCTCCGCGGCTTAAGAGCAGCTGCGTCCTGTTTATCACCCACAAAATAAATCTTTTTGCACGGAAGTCTGGAAAGGGAAAAGATTGGGGGCTGGTAATGTTAGCCTCCATTTGTATTTAGAAGTGAGTTTCACCGCAGCTGCCGGAGGGCTGGAATCAGAAAATGGCTGATCAAACACCACTTCATGGGTGGGAAGGAGGGAAATAAAAGCTCTGAATTACAGCATGTCAAACCGAATGAGCACTGCGGCTATGGCTTTCATGCGTCTTGACACACTGGGCTGCGTGTTTGTATACCCACTGCTTTTTAAAGATAACACCGCTGCCTGATCTGATTGTAGATCTCAGACGGCTCGGTCCCTGAGTTTATTCGTCTTTCAGGCAGTTTGTTCATTTTCCACTTTGGTGTGTTTTTGTTGATCTCAGATGTTCTCTTGTTGCATTTTTGTTCTCCCTCGCCTGCTCTTTGACAACATTAAATCACCTCTGCTCTTCTTTTGCGTGTTACCTGTATTTCTTTCCTTGCTGACACCTGGCTTTGAAAGCTGCGTGAAGGTGATCTGAGCAAGAGGTCTTAGGTTCTATTCAACATGGGAAAGAAAGGGGAACAAGCCATTCACGTAAGGCAGATGTGTCTATATTTATAACATGAGAAGAAGAAAAAAACAGCAGGGTAAAAAGTCTTATCTGTCTTACTGTCGCACACATAAATGGATGTAACAGCGTTGCACAGACCAATCAGCTGACTGATTGGTTGGTCCTGATTTCTTTAATTTTGTGTGAATTGTCGATGCAGTCTTATCCACAGATTTTATCTACCTGCTGCAAAGGTGTGAAGATCAGCCACTGTCCTCGTTTGCTCTCCCGTGACGTAGGACTTGACTGATGGATCAAGTTTAAATTTTTCAAAATATTTAAGAGCATTAGCTTGTGCAGCTAAAATAAGTTTGTAGTATTGTAGTATTATTCAATGTTTGTTTTTTTTTGTGTTTTTTTAAATTAAGATTGGAACATTAAAGGTGTATCGTGACCTCTTAACACTTGAGAGTGCCGGCTGTAAAAAAACAAAAACTAAAAAGAATCGGCAGGTTGGGCTTTTTAAAGATCGGTGATCGGCCAGAAAACTGCAATCAGTGCACCCCTAGGATGGAGTTTTCAATTTGCCACTGAGATGTTTACCAAAACCTTAAGGTTTAGTCAGATATGACGAAGGTTGCACTTTCTGAGCTTAGCATTTATAAAAAAAAAAAAGGTCAGCTTGTTGATGGCAGTACGTTGGAAACCTGTATTTCCTGGGGGATCTGATTGGAGTACTGCTTGGCATCATTTCCTCTTTTTGCACTTCTTATAATAGAGATTCTTATAATAATCATGGTGCTGTAATAATCTTTACAAAGCTGCCTGTAAGAAAAAAACAAATCCCGATCCAATTTAAAATGCAGTGAACTTTTTTTCCACTTTCTGTTATTATTCAGTGGAAGTAAGCCAGGAAACTTGTTTTCCTCCCCGACTAAAAGATCAAACAAAAACACACTGGAATAATAACGCTCCATTTCAGTGTGGATACACGACGAATCACGCATGTCAAGACTCGTCCATTAAGTCCTGTTTACATATTCGTGTGTCTGCTCCGTTACGTAAGGGCAGCCGAGGAGTCATCAGTCTGTCCAGAGTATTTTGGTTCTATTTTGGTTCCCGTTCAGGGCCCGGGTGCATTTGCATCTGTTTCTGGAGGCACTCGGCCTGCTGTTGGCGCTCCACCTGCCTGCGGAGGCAGCATCTCGACACCGACCCGTCGAGGACTGAGGCTCGCAGTGATCTGATCACCACTCGAGCCTTTTCAGCGCCGCAGCCTTGAAGGACAGGTGTAAATGTAGCCCCAACCTTGACGCACCGACAGAAGCCAAGCCCTGCTGCTCTTCATTTATTTATCAACCCTCGCTCTGCCTCTCCTCTGCTCCTATCCCCCCCCTCCTGTCTCTCCTCCAGGACTGGTGTAATTATTTCTGCCTGCGCTTTTTCACCCCATCCGATGGTTTCAGATGTGAATAAAAGTGACAGCGGGGCCGCCGAAATGACAGAATCAGCCTGTCTGCAGGGTCTCTTGTCACCCTCTTGCGTCTTTTCCTTCTCCTAACCTACGTCTCCTTCCCTCCCCTGAAGTGTAGCGTTTAAACCTGGTCTAACCTCTGAATTCACTGTTAATGTATTTAATCTCACCGCACACATAAAGATAGCTAATATAAAAGTCCTTTTCAGACCGCTCCGCAGAAACAAACACCACTGGAAAGCACTTTATTGGTCTCCTGCTCGGGAAGGAAACATTTGAGACAGTCGTCCCCTCAGCAGTTTGTCGCTCTGATGTTACTGGAGCACCTTTTGACGAGCCGTAAACCCGTCACGTTGCCTTTCCGCGGGTTCGGCGACGACTTGTAGATTACGCCAGACAAAACTCTCATGCATTATAAAATAGATAACATATAAAACCTATGAATAATTCATCAGAAACATCAAGTGTGTAGCCTAACCCTCCCTGTTGCGTTCCTGCAGTGGGCTGTTGAAGCCAGAGTGCCGTTTTTATTTAGCCACAGCAAAAGAGCAGACAATGTAATCTGTTGTTGTGGTTGGATGGAAGCTGCGTCTGACGGTCAGACATGAAGCCAGTCGTCTGTTTTTAAGACGTTACCTCAGACCTCGTCCTATTTATTATAGCCTGGGTTCATCTGCAGAACCCAACAAGTCCAACCCAGGAACAGAGAGCACATTAAATAGGAGGCAAACAGGTTGTCTCTGGTTATGTTGCCATTCGGTCCTTGCAGCGATGTTGCAAAAAGGAAACGATGTTTTACCTCCAAACAAAGTTCTGCCTGCTCATCTGTGCTTGCTATGCTTGAAACCACAGCTGGCTGCCATGTCGCTCTGCACAACTTCTGATTTTGTTTTTAGTCTTTAAAAGGAAAAGAACTGTAATGAAATCCATTTCAGCTCCAGTTTATGGCTAGCCTCAGCCCATATTAGAGTGTGAGCGTCGCATAAAGCGGAAAATCCAGTTCTGCTGACATTTATTTTGTCATTTATAAAAACTTTAATGATGGCGGTAACAGCATCATGCTGTGGGAATATTTGTGTGGAAGCTATTTATAAGAACTGTTTTGTACATCCCAAAACACTTGCAGCTGTAACTATAGCTGAACAGAGTTCTGTAAATTGATTCGGGGAAGCTGAATACAAATGATTTGTCTTTATATTATTTTTTTCAAAACATTCATCCCACTCTCTCTCTCTCTCTCTGTGTCTCTCTCTCCCTATTGTTCTTAAATCCCACTGAAAGTTGTGATCAAAACTTGACAGTAACACTGTCTGCCAGACACAACGTATTTTCAATCTCAATCTTTTTGCTCCTGGAAACCAACACGATGGCTCGTCACCTGTGGCAGCCGTCTCTAGCACTTGTTTCCAAGCGGTGCTAACCTTGCATCGGCCAACAGGAGGTGCCATACAAACAATCAGAAGCAAGCAGCAGCAGCCGCAGTCTCGCTGTGTGCCGCCACGTCGGAGACATGGGCTGATCTATGAGTGCTGCAGGGCGGGAGGTCTATTTCTCAGCCAGCTGCACTGTGCCGCGGCTTATCTCCGGCTGTGTCCGTGGCTGATGGATGACTGCACTGAGGTGCTGAGGTGGAGGGAAGAGGGTGGGTATTAAAAAAATAAAATAAAATGGAGGAGGAAAACAACAACAGAGAAGATGGACCAGCAGCCACCCAGTGGTAGAAAACGAGCATTCACAATCAGAGACGCAAAAACACACAGCAAAAAAAAAAAAAAAACCTGTCCAGCATCTCTGTTTTAATCAGTGTATTGTATCGCATTCACAGTACAGTGCCAACAAAGTTATTTTTTTTTTTTCTTTTGTGTGTGTTTTGTAACCAAGTAGCGGGCAGGATGGGTGTGTACTGGAATTTCCTGTCACCTTTTGTGTCAGTACATGCTAGAGAAAAGCAGAGGTTGTTACTTTGCTTTCCAAAGGTCGTGTTGTGAGGGCTGCCACATTTGTTATGGGGTAAATATAAACCGTTTACACTTGGCCTGCTGGACGAACCTCGGGTCTACAGAGAGCCATCTTTCTTTTAGACTCGCACTAAAAGGCCATGCCTCCCTAAACATCTGCACAGCTTTTTACAGATCTAAACATAGATCTTTTTTTGTGTCTATGCAAAGAGGATGTGGGTAGTAAAGTGTCTGTCAGTGTGGTTATTCCTATTCAAGCGTGTTGTGATTTCCTCCCTTTTACACTGTGGCTAATCTTACTACAAGCTTGACACTTGATGGAAGAAAGTGTTTGTTTTTTTCCTCTCTTTCTCTTTATTTTTGGCTCTTTTACTGAGTGTCAGCCCTTTGGGTTTGCGCACAGCAGGCTCGGTAAAGGTCATCTTTTAACAAGTCAGGTATAATGACTCCATATTGAGTGAATGTAGCTTTGTTTTTCGTCCGAAGTCCCTGCGTCACTGTTTTTGGGGAATGACATTTAGTGGGAATTATGTTCCATGTGCGAGCCTGCCCTCTGTTTGTCATCACGATACCATCTGTGTGCCTGTGTCTACATTATCTTAACCAGTTTTACAACTCCGAACAATCGGCCTTCGAGCAGGACGTATGCTTACACAATGGGCCATTGAAATATTCCCCCTTTTTTTTTTTTTTTTTTGCTTCTCGTCCTCCTTTCATACGTCTCCTCTCAAGCCTCACAATGGTGCACTGTTCGGCTCGGAGGGGAAACTCGGGGAGGGTAAAAAGCGCCAGCTCTCTGGAACACGCTCAGAGAGAGAAGCCTGTTGTTTCTGCACAGCGGATGGCCATTTGGTAGCACTTCCACCCAGCTAAAACCCCCTCGCCTCCCACCCTTGTTTCTCCGTCTCTCGGAGCCCCTCCTCTGCCTTTGTTCCCTAGCAACCGAGGGCTGGAGCAGTCGGAGCAGGGGCAGAACGATTCAGGGAGCAGATTGGCGGATGATTTATTAGCTGGGCTGGAGAGCAGTGAGCCTAGGCAGCTGAAATGGAGCCTTAAACTGGAGCCGACATGTAGAGAGGAGGGAGGGAGCCAGCAAGAAAAAGAAAACTGAAGGGAGGCGGGAGTGGGGGAGCACGCACGAAGCCCAGCTATTAAGATATGATTGGTTCGACTGGGTAAAAAGTACAGTTATGGGACATAATTAAGATGACCTGATTAGGTCAGACTACACGAGCAGGTCTAATTGATTTTCAGTAGAAAAGCTTCACTGGCTTGTGTAAAGATGTATTGAAAGAAAAATTGAAATTTTTAAACCTTGAAAAAAAAAAAAAAAAAAAGGGATCTAATAATATTTTAAGGTTTTGTGTGCCGTCTCGACTCATGACCTGAATGTTTCGCTTAACACCAAATCGGATCAACTAGAATGAAGCAAGATGTGATTTTAGCAATATCTTTTCACATACCACCACTGTTTTTCCAAGGCTTTGTAATATTTGTAGAATAATCCAGTGCAGCATGGGCGGTTCTGGACGGGGATGACAGGGGCCCCCGTAGAACTGGTCCTGTTCCCTGTACTGAAGAAATAATGCTAAATCAAGTTCTTATGGTCTCTTAAATTGTAACTATTGGGTCCCTTGGAACAATTACATTTTTACAGTCACGGTTTTACTGTGATCCACTTTTTGCTTCAGCCATTTTAAGATAAAGTCGGTTTTTGTTGGCTAGATCAAAAATACCCAATATTTTTGAGAGAAGTAGCTCTTTGACTTAATGTATTAAACAATGAACTATTGCCCTGGTTTTGTTTCATTTGGTAAATTTGGCCACTGTAGTTACAGTTTAATTAGTCCAAATATTGCATTTTTCATTCTTGTCTGATTTTAAGGCCCAAATGTCAGAAACACATTAGAACCACTTGTTTGTTTTTTTTGTAAAAAAAAACAAAAAAACAAACAAACAAAAAACTCAGTTTTTTGTGTTGGCAAATTCAGTTCATATTTTTTCAAAGCAAACTAAATGTTGGCATAGAAATGATCAAATGCAGTCTCATCTTATTAAAAATATATATCAAACAGCTCTTTCCATTTGGGTTTGTCAGAAGCTATAAACCAGGTTTTAAATTAATCTGGTGAGTAACTAGTGGTTCAGTAGTCAAAGCACTCTTGCTATTACTGGTTTAGATTTTTAGCTACAGATGAAGTAACCCCATATCTTATCATTGATGGAAGGCTATAAATTAGATGTGAAATTTCATATTTCTAACTAAAACCAGTCGGTGTATTCTCAGGGCTTAAACAGTCTGAAGTTTTTTAGGTCATGAAGTAAAAATGATGAATTGCAACCTAGACTAAATAAAAGCAGAAGCCCTTTAAGTACTGAAAGAAGTGACAAAATAGATACCTTTAGTGTGGTTAGTGACTAACATTTAGTAATGTATAGTATTCTTAGTATGTAATTTTATGTGCAGTTTAGGTTTTAAGTTGCACAAAAGCAATTAGACCAAATGAATAAGAATCTTTCAAGGAGATGTCAATGTTAGCAGCAATACTCTCACACTGTTTGTTGCCTCATTATGACATAATTCACTTTAAAATGCCCAAATAGGATCAAAGGTTTCCTGTGCTCACTTGAAAACAGTGAATTTAACCATTTAGTTTACGATGAATAATAAGCTATGAAGCAAATGCTAACTTATTCATCACTCGCGGCTAACTCTTAGCCGGTCACAGTGTTTGTCGATTTTCACATGGAGATGATTAAGTGCGAGCTAGGCCTATTAGGAAACAGTGAAATAGATCGTTAGCTTTGGGAAGCTAGAAACAGATGCTGACTTTGGTCTCGCTGGTAGCTAACAGTTAGCTTGTTGAGGTATTCCTGACGTACTTGCAGTCGATCGGTTCATTAATATTTTTTTATGAAGTTCCCAAAATGGCCGCACACAAATTACTCAAGTGTTTAAAAACTTTTTAACTTGTGTTTAGTGTTTTCAGTCAGCTTGATTATTTTTAACATTTTTTATTATAAATTCAATAGGTCTGTCTATCAGCAGTTAGTGACGATCCAAATGGTAATCTGCACTTGACCTCTTGAGTGTCTAGAGATGCTTTGTTACAGATTGCTCCATCTACTGGCTGATCAACATTAGGTTGATGCATGGAAATTGCCTGATGTCCCAAGAGACTGATGTGACGGGCCTTTTTTGTTTTAGATGTCAGCAGAACACGTGTTGCTTCTAATCAGTCCTTTTAGCGTTTGATTGTTTAGACTGCTGTAGTTTTTGTTGAGTAGTAATTTAGTTACACCCTAAAACTGAGAGCGCGTTTGTGTTAATATCTGACTTCAAATGCAAGTGCTTTGCCCCTCCTGGTTACGCTGAGCTCTTCTCCTGTGCATGTCTGTATTTTTACCCCCCTGGGTAACGGTTGTGTTTTGCAGCTGGCTGTTTTTACTTCAGTAAATTTGGCCTTTGTTCCACACCAAAGCTGGATATGTAAACAATCTGCAGTTACATAACTCACTGTGCTGGAAAGTGAACTTCATTAGAGGCTCCGTGTCTGGTTTTACTTCCCACTCATTTTCCCTTCCATCATGTCCAGGAGCTTTTTCCTCACAAATTGTGTCAGCCTTGCCTGCTTTTCCTCCCCTCTCAGGCTCGCAGCTAGTTTTACCTCTGTGTCTGCTCACCCTAAGCTGTAAATCCATTTAAAGGAGCGGCGTAGGTTCCTGTTAAAGAGGCAGCTTTTATTGATTTGTTGTTAGCAGACAGTTGTCTGTGTTTCCTCTGGTGGGAAAAGATCATGCGCCTGCTGATTTAGATGGGGCAGAAACGAGCCGAAATGAGCGCTGCGCCCAACAGGAGTCCACTTCAGGTTTTCCAGTCTGCCGCAAACCAGAGGCTCTCTTGCAGAAAGATCACATGTAAAGCCTTCCCCTTTGTAGTGGAGGAGCACAGAGTGACAAGCTATTTCTTTCTTAAGAAAAAGAATCGCTAGGCTGTCGGAGACCTTGTGGATTTGTCCCCTGATTTATTTGTTTTCCTCCTCTTTTACCTGCTGCTGGACGTGGAGGTTCGTGTGGCGCTCCCTGTGGACTTTTCCCCGCTTTTTGCCGGAGTTACTTGGTTGGAAACGGTTGGCTGAGATCACTGAAGAACGGGGCTTGCCTCTGGAGCAAGAAAGTAAATCTGTTGGTCGTCTGCTTCGCTGGTTGTGAATGTTTTCAGCCACCGCTTTTTATGGCTCGCAGTCTGTGGCTCTTAAAGGAGAATGACTGCGTTTTAGGTAGTTTGGATTTCTGGTTTTGTTTCTGCTCTTGGTGAAGTCAGGCGGCATGTTCACGTTTGCTTTTTTTTTTATTATTATTATTATTTCAGATTAGAGCCGATGTCATGAAGTGGCAACCTCTGTGTTGGTGTACTTGATTTCTTCTGACTCCTACCAGATTATTCGTGTCGATTCTAAAGATTTTAAAATTAGTGGCGTTTTCTTGATTTGTCAACTCCCAAGTTCAGGTTTTGACATTGAACTTTCCCTTTTGAGATTAACAGCCACGCACATCGTGAATGTTTCTGTATCCAGCAGTGTTTGGATAACTGTGTTTTCACAGCACATGAAACGACTAGGTTAATCTCAGAGTCTCTCCCTGCCTTACTAGTCATTTCCTCTCTCGTTTTTGCCCTGACATGGCTGTGTTTGCTCCGGAGTTTAAACGGAGCTACGGAGGTTTCTCAAACACACATCAAACCTCTGCAACCACAGACTAGAGAAACGAAAAACCTTTTTTTTTTTCTTCCTTGTTGTTGTGGTACTCAGCAGTAACTTCTTGCAGCCGCAGTTTAGCTGACTTCACTTATACTAACCTGTCTTTTTTTCTCTCTCTCTCTGTGTCTCTTTCTTTCTTCCTCTGTGAAAAAAATTGCAGAAGCGCTTCATTAAAGGGCTGAGACAGTTTGGCAAAAACTTCTTCAGGATCCGAAAGGAGCTGCTGCCCAACAAAGAAACGGTAAGATGTCTTTTTTTTAATCTTTATTATTTAGATTTTTGTTCAGCTTGAACTTTTCCAGAGTTTCCTCATTTTAAATACAGATGCACAGAAAACAAGGTGCGTCTTTTGAGCACTGCTGCTTTCCAACTACAGGCCTTGTTTTGTAATTACTAAGACCTGCATTAACAGACTCCGTGGAACAGGAAACATAAAATTGAAAATCTGCTTCAAAGACTAGACACGATCGCTGCTTGTAAAGTTGCAGCACACCGTAACCCGATTGTCCTGCATGTGTGCTGTAAACTGTAACAGTTTAGTGTCAACCTTTACAGTAGCTATCAGTTGTCTAATGCTTCCATTGTTTTATGGAATACTTGTGTGTCAAAGTTGCAAAAAAAAAAAAAAAAAAAAAGGGGGGGGCAACAAAACCCTGAAACATGAATAAATGAGATTTGTTTTTAACTTTCCGAACACTTGAGGCTCAGTGGAGGCGGCCGTTTTATCCTGTAGCTGAGCGTTTTCCATGTCACTGCCAGTGCTGTTGATTTGTGGAGGCAGTTATTTAATCTTTCTCACACTCTGTAATTGTGTTATTTGCATGTACTGGCAGCGTGGGGTGTTGCTGTTGCAATATTTCCCTCCGCTGCGTTTGGGTGAACACAAACGTCACTGTGGTAATCGTCGCTGAACAACTGTGCATGACCTCTGTCACGGTGCAGAAAAAGCTCAAATCCCGGCCCAGATAATGATTAACGACTGCTAACTTTTATTGACTGGAAGTCGTAGCAAAAACAAAACACTGTTCTGACTTTGCTCCTGGTTGCTGAAGTTTAATAATGATTACAAAGCAACGCACCGCCAACAGAATGCAAAGTTTCCGCTCTACTACAGGAGAAATTTAGAGCGGCATTCTGCATTTTCCTATAACAGAAAGCTTCACGCCTTCGAGTTGGCTGCTGGATTACTCTCTCTGAGAGAAGCCTAGATTCAGAAAACCTTGCAGACCCTGTTTAGTTGTTTTGTGCGGCTGCTCCCGCTGGAAGTGTGCCGGCACAATGCTGACACAGACATCAAAGCAAAAAAAAAAAACCCAAATTGTTTGTCATGCTTCTCATCTGCTTCATTTCCTCGTCTGCTGCAGGGCGGGGGTACAGCAGACCTCTCTGTCAAACACACAGACTTTCACACACTCAGGAACTCCTCGGTGCTTCTGTGTCACGGTTTCTTTTTATTTCTGAAGACCTAATTCAGGCCTTTTGAAAAGATGACGTCTGATTTAGGCATGGACCAGTTTCTAGTAAGAAGTTGTACTTCACAATCATGGGAATTTTTCTTTATATCGACAATATTTCCAATCAATCAGTTTTGTATTTTTTCGGTTGCAAGTATTTAAGCCTCCTTTCAGCCAGCTGACTGGCAGTGAGCAGCAACAGGTGGGGGAGGAACAGCACTGTGTTGCAAAGAAAGCTCCAGTCATGATGGCGTTTTTGTTTCAACAACAACAATTTTGCGACGAAGAATATTAGCAGCCCTGTGTCCTCAAGCCTGAATGAGAGATGCTGGAGTGACGAGTTTGATCTAGCTGGCTAAAAGAGGCATCCTAGATCTTTTCAGGAGATTCTGTTCTTTAAAAATACACCCAGGAGAGAAACCCCAGCAGATGTAGCTCCTTTCAAGAGAAAATTACACTTAAGCAGCTGATTGCATAAAATAACCAAATCTGCTCAGGCTTGCTACCTGAGCAGATAGCCTGCCTAGCTGACCAGCTAATATCAGCTTGTTGTACTTTGGTTATTTTATAAAACCAAGAAGAATATTCTGCATCATAGACACTTAAATATTACTAAATTTCTGGTCAAAATCTATTTAGCTTTTTAAAATCTCTAGTGATTTATGTGATATTACTCTAAGTATTTTTGAAAACTTGTTGTGCTTCTGTTTTATACAAAAGCTCTTTGTATATTAAAATAAAATATATTGGTGATATTTTTCCTTGGTTATTCTGACATGAAAATCTTAAGCTGAATCCTTTTATTCTTTAAGTCATTCCAGTTATTTTGAGTTTTATTTTTTAATATGTGGCTTATTGATTGGCTATAAAGGCGGTATTAATGCAGTCGAACCTGGAGGGGGAGTTCACTTGGCAGGTAGTAGACCTTACCTCAGGCCTGCCACCACAAAGCAGAGGGAGATTCATTTTCCTCCTGCACACAAAAAATAAACTGGCCTGTAAACATTTGAAAGGACGGCTGTCGTAACATGAGAAGAATGGATACAGCTTGTTTTAGATGCTAAAAACGCCGGGGTTGCTACATGGAGGATTTAAAACATTACATGATTCCGGTTATTGCGCGCTAATTCCTCAAGGAACGCTGCGTTTAATATCTGCCTGTCACTGCAGAAGGATGATATGGATTTCTGTCGGGGCTGATCTCGCGTTTTTACTCATATTTTGTTTCATAAATAGAGCAGTATGTCTCACATGCCTGCTTACTCCCGCTCTAAATCCTGGCGCGTAGCGCGGAGCTTAAAGCCCTCGGGCGGATATCCAGGGCTACGGAGGTCCGGTACAGAGTGTCTGCCCCTCGCTGCTCCTCCTCGCTCGCATTAGCCGCTCTGCCCCTGAAGCAGCACAGCTCAAACCGCCAGTGCCCAGGGGTAAGCGCCCAGCGCTGTGTAAACACACCAGGCCTGACTAGCAGTGAGGAATGCCTTATATAAAGTCACAGCAAGGCCCAGCGGGGGGAAGTGGGTGTGCCGTCTGACCGTCTGCAAGCTAGCTGTGCTGCCACCATTTCCTTCACTCCTGAGAGGACGTCATGGAGCACGAGCTGGCCGAGTCCACTGTTTGAACAGCTCAGATATGCTAAAATGGCAGATTAGAGATCAACTCTGCGGCTGATTTTTTTTTTTTTTTTTTTTTTTACTGGAGAGGTTTTCAGGAAAAATGTTGTTTGGGGATGGAGGGAGGGAGGAAGGGGGGTCAACAGACTGTATTTGCTAAACAGAGCTGTATCAGCTTCAGCTTTGTTTGCAGTGCAGCTCAACACAGAAATGGACAGGCCAAAACTTCCAGAGATTAAAGAGGGAAAAACCAACATCCTATAAATCATACACACAAAAATATATAAATTAATTATTTAGACGTTTAGGACACACAAACGCATCTCTAACCTTACTGTTTTGACAGATGAAACAATTTTCAGAGCTCAGTCACTCGTTTCTTTTCACCTCACAGAAATTGGAAAGTTAAATACGCTTCGCTGACCAAAAATACGATTGCAATAACATCTCATGCTTGAAACTGTGCTCAGTTTTTCTTTGTGTCCTGAGAGATTTTAAACGGCATGAAAGCGCAATTTATTAACTTGATACACTCTTAAGTGTATTATAAAGTTTATTTATAGACTGTAAACCTGATGAGCAAGAGAACAGAGAGCAACTATAATCTAATAAACCCAGTGAAGTCGCATAAAATGTTTACAAGCTTAGAGCAAAAGCTGTATGTTTGTATTTTTATCAACTAGTTCTTTTATATCATTATTCCTGCTGTGTGTGGTTGGTGCTGCTGAGGAAAGAAGACTCAACGTGGAAGATGACCAATGGCTGCTCAAAGCAGGATGGTTGGAAAATATATTTTCAGTCCTGTTTATATATTCTATTATTTTCCATATTTTGGTTCTCAAGGTAAATCAGAGCCAAGAGAAGGAGGTCAAAGCTTTACAAGAAACTCAAGAGTCAAACACAAACATTTGGATTAGTCCGTTCGTTCGGGTGTCATCCAGTGGCAGCAGGAGATGAACGTTGGCGTCCCCACATATTGAATCAACAAGACCTATCAAAACCGAGACGCAAGATAGCATTAGCTTGCTACTTAAAGAAAATGCCTCCAAGACAAAGGTCCGCAGCAGAAACAAATAAAATGTCCTCCAACTTAAACGTTTTTGCTGGATATGTCTTGTTAGTTGATATAAACCACAAACAAGTAAAGTGATGCAGAATATTCAATCTGAAAGTTATTTAAACCAACCTGTTTTCTTACTCTTACCATTGTTTTTTCTCTCTAGTTTTACAGAAATGCAAAATTATGAACCTAACATAATTATTTTTATTTTAAAGGGAGTAAAACTATGCTTAATCCGTTAATTTTACGACAAAAGGATTGTGTTTCTTGCTTTATTACCTACCAGGTTTTAAAAAAAAAAAAAAGCCCATAAAGCTGTGCAAACTGACAACTGGTAAAGCCACAATCAGATTAAAAGCAACTAAAACGCACTTTTGGATCCTACACCACAGGAAGGTGATTGAATTAGCCTCCGCTAGATTATCTTTACGCGTTTCCGCTTGGATTGTTAGCATTCAGAAACGTTGCCATTAACCTCTTGGTTTTCAGCACGGACCTCGTCTGTGCTTGTGATCTTTATTATTATTATTATTGTTTTTACCTCATCTTGATCTTTTAGCTCTCAGATCAACCAGAAGGTGACGTGCCGAGCCTCTCTCTCGTTTCCTCTCGTCTCTGTGTGTAGAAGCGGCGCTCTGTCCCCTCCAGCTGCTGTCATCTGCAAGACGGCCAACAGGAGAGCGCCGCTCTCAACACAACCTCACAGCAGATGTTTGCCCTGGTACAATCTGTACAAACGTCAAATTGATTAAATTGCCTTGTCCTTAGCCCAGCGGTCCCAACCTCGGGGGGCGGATAGGTGTGATTATAAATATTTAGGTTAAAACATTAATTAAAGCTGCTGCAAAATTACGGTGGCCTGGTGGGTTTGACAGCAGATGAGAGAACAGGACCGGCGCTTGGCCAGTGGGTTGGTGTGTTTAGGTAGTAATGTTGCTGTCAGCTGAGATAAACCCAACCAGCATATATTGATGTTCTTTTAACAGGCGGCTCGGCACAGCTGAATGGAGGCAGATTAATAGAAGGCGCTCGCTGTGTAATTGAGTCTTTGGTAGGCTACGTGTTGTGTGGGCTTTGCAGACTGGCTTATCAGCAGAACACGCCGGACCGAGCG